TGGTATCTGGATAAGGGTAGGGGGCTATAGGAAGAGACAGTAGTCTCAAGTTATTCTAGTGGGTCCCTTACATGTATAATAGTTTTGACCACTTCCCTAATATATATATTACTGTGCTACTATGATAAAATTCGCATCTTTCCTATCTAAGCCATTTTAAAGCATAAACAAGTAGTCTATATGAGAATAAAAATGCTTTTTACTATTTTCAAATATCTCTTTTAATTTCGTTCCAGAGAAATTTGAGTTTTTAAAATGTGCAAATTAGCCAAGTGATGACATCATTAACTCAACCAAATTTGATAAAAAATGTTCTCAAACTCACTAATAGTTCATCAAGTTAAAACAAAGAAAATCACAACCTTGAAGGGGGTTTGGATACCTGGTCTTAATTAGCACAGATTTTGACGATTTTACATCTCCGTTTACTCCTTAGTTTTTGTTTCGATTGAGAAGGTATATCAAACACTCAGGACATTGTTTCATCAGTTATCCAAACACCTCAAATTTCATCAAAAATACTCTGCTGCGTGTCATATTTTCAACTCTCTCTTCGGTAAAAGAGGTAAAAAGTGTTCTCTGGTAAAACTGTATAAAATTGTGAGCTTTCAATAGCCAGTCTGCTGTCTTCGATGGACAAAAATGAAATGATAAAATAGACCTAAGAATTTGAATATAACAAGCAAATGGCATATATCAAATAGAATACGTGTAAAAGAATGTGAGAATGCTAAAAGTGTAAAATTAGTGTTTGTTTAGAAGAATATTATATTGTCCCGGCAGAGGGCACGAATTGTTGTCGGCCTCGACAGTTTGCGCTGTGTGCCAGGATTCCAGCGTCTTTCTAATGTGGCTGCTGCCGGTGTTTGGATATCCCAATGAAACACTGTCTCTCGTGTTCGATACATTACAGGAAAAAAGATATCTCAGCCAATTTGTCAAATCAGAATTTTTTTTATTCTTTGTAGTACAATTCTACTAGTTGTACTCCACAATATGAGCTTGGCAGTTTCTTATGCTGCATGTAACCTAAACATTTCTGAGGTCATTGACGCACAATCATGACATAATTTCTTGCCAAAAACATTAAAGTGCACCTAACCCCAAAATCTCTTTTTGCTAAAACAAATCCACTTGTTATTTGAAGCATTTGGGTGAAAAAATTTTTGAATTTGGTTGAATCCTCAATTTTCTATACCCCTTCAAAGTCGTGCTTGTAGTGTTGTGCGACCGTATTTTAGGTAGTCTGGGATGGTGGTTGCTGATGACGTCTACCCAGGAACAAAACACAATGGCGCCCCAGTCAGCTCTCTGTATTTGCTCGAGAAAACGGAAAAAAACTAATCGTTCCAATATATTTTGGGACTAAAACATCCAAGTTTTGATCAGAATCATTTCTTTTTCGTCACTGGAGTCAGAGTTCAGTTTTGATTTGGAAGACTCTGAAATAAACTTTGATCGAGCACATTCGACAACTGGGAACTCACTGCTTAGAGTTTTGAGAGCAATTTACAATATTTCAAGAGATGATGGGAAAGACTTCTTTGCGGATGAGTTGCTTGTATATTAGGAATGGAAAGCTAGATACAAAGTGGAGGAGCAGGCAAACAAAAAGCAGGAAGGAAAACTCAAGGACTGCTTTGGCTGGTTATTTTGTCACCTAAACACAAGATTCCCACACGTGTTTATAGCCAGTTTACATTTGTCCTTAGTGAGAATGTATTTTGTCAAGGTATGGTTGTCATAAAAGCGACGTAAGTGTTGCAGTTTTCGCGACTTGATGACCTACAAAACACTGGCTTTGATCAATTGCGAATCGTAGAATTGTTTGGACCTGTATTTTTGAAGCTGCGGGAAGCAAGGTGGGAGGAAACATTTCATACAATTACCGATTTCACATTGTCACACATTTTAAGGCGTAACTCCAAATAACTGAATGTAAATTTTTCTCAAAATTTGCAGTGAAATTTGTCGGATAAGCCAAAAGGATGTGTTACCTAAGTGGTCAGCAGATAATGTTACGCGGTCATATTTTTGACACTATTGCACGGAATGTTTGTCACACTGCTGATTTCCAAACCTTTGAAAAACTCTGTGAGTCTAACAGTTTTGTTATCATGTAATTCTAAAGGATTAATCTTTGACTTTTATCTAAATCGAAAGAGAAACAAGTGTTGGTTCACAGCATACAGTTGCGACCTATTTACATATCAGTATATTGGTCATAACTCTTCTTGATTGATCACACAACTTGGTTGGCTATGTTATAAATACTGCGGGATTGGAAGATAGAGGTTGTTGGTAGTATTTCTACAAACTGCTGGTTGGCATTAAGCAGAAAATTTTGAAAATAACATTTGAAAGGCTGCGGAACCAATCCTAGTGAGAGTTCTTCAATGGTTCTCACAGACTCAGTTCACTTGTTTTGGTTCAACAAAATCAACCATCGTTTACGTCTTTATTGTGCAATTGACCGATCATCACCAGTAAATTGTACAGTTTATCTTTCTTTAAATCTGGAATATTGCTGAACAGCTGATAGCACTTCTGGAAGGTGTTTCTGTGCACTTTCGAATGTGTATTGCACCCATTCTCATCCCCAGAGGCCGCGCTCCTTTTGGTCAGCACCAAGAATCATTCTATTGTGTTTGCAAAGCCAATCAGAACCGGAATCTCACTGGACCTATCCAGAGGTCGTGATTCCTGGTGCTGACCAAAAGGAGTGCGGTCTCTGGGGACAAGAATGTATTGCACCATCCTGAAGGAAATGAGAGGACGTGAGATATTCAACCTTCCTGGGTAGATGTCACAACAGCCACTCAAACTCGGTCGCGAAACAAAATGGCAGTGTTTTGGAGCTATTTTTGAGATTTCGTTGGGGCACAGAAAATCGAAGATTTAACTGAATCCAAAAATGTTTTGCAGAAGTATTTCAAATAACAAGAAGATTCATTTTAGCAAAAAAAAAAAATTGGGTTAGGTGCACTTAAACTTTCAAATAGTGTGATCATGACTTGAGTGTGGATGACCACAATTGTTTTTCGTCCATATAATTATATATGTATACATGTATTTATGTATGCATGCATGTATGTATGTACGTATGTATGTATGTATGTATGTATGTATGTATGTATGTATGTATGTATGTATGTATGTATGT